AAAAATAGCTAGTGAAATTGGCAAATTTAGCAAAATAGCTTATTATAAATTTATATTTATTAAGTATAAAATTTCTGTGAGTTTATTATCTATCATTTTAGTGAGTTCTCCAGTTATTATTACAAATATGTATATAATTGCTCATTTATGTAAATCAGTTTAAGAACAAAAGTAATAATTATATGTTTAGTGCAAAAGTAGTAAATTTCGCATCTTAGCACAAAACAATTGTTGCTAGCTATTTTGCTAAAAAATAGCACTATTTTAAATACTACAAAAATGCAAAGACTCTGATCAGATTAACTTATAGCTACTTTAACATTAATTCAAAGCAGAATTATAATTTTTGCAAATGAAAAATATTTAAGAATAAAATTTTACCATTGGGGTTTCAGAATTAACTTATTTCAAAATAAATAGGAGTTTAAAAAGTTCTATTTTTGTTTTAAAATTTTAAATCAGAAAATTAAATAAGTGTATCTAGTAATAAAAATTAGCTTTTTTTGATAAATATTTTTGAAAAAATAGGATTTATAGACTATTTATTTCAAAATAAATATGTCACTTATTTTATCTGAAATCAGACATCAAATTATTAATTCTGAAACCCTATTACTAAAAAACTAAATAGAACTTCAGAACTTTTTTATCATTTAAAACTTAATGGCTCAGTCTGCATTTCAATGTGGTCCTAAAAATATTGCATTTAACAAATATAAAAAAAAGAAAGTAGCCTATAGAGGTATTTTTTATTTTGTTCCAAGTGGGAAGAAGTACAAAATTGTTCATTAAGACTCTATGTTGAACCTGTTCCTACAACATATCCATGTATTAGATGTGCCAAAATTAAAAGATCATGTAATGGAACTTATGCATTGTGCTATCAGTTTTCATGGCACTTATATCATAATAAACATGAATTGGTTTTAAAAGATGAAATGGCACCAATTATTAATGGTCAAACTTCACAACAAACATTTGATAATCCAACACCTCCATCTGAAACTTTGCCATTACCCGAATTTGAAATCACTTTACCACTAGCTGGTCCTAGCTTTTTTGAAAAAGATGCAAGAGAAATATTTATAAAAGCTAAAGTTTATAAAATAATAAGAAGTCTTTATAAAGAAATAACTATGGAAATCGATACTCAATCTGATGTAACATAGATTCTTTAGCATTATTTAATTTTTTAAATTTTGAAAAAATTGATCTTGATAAAGAAGAAATAATTACTGGACATGGTAATGCTGTAATTACTATATATTGTGCTACTTTATTATATATAAAAATTAACAAAATCAAAGTATATACTAAAGTATATGTAGACAAAAATGCAAAACAAATAGGTGGGTTAATTGGAAAAAATATAATTAAAGCAATGAATATGAATATTCTAACTAAAAAAGGTGTAATTACTGTAATATATGATGATTAAACTTTTATTGTACTTAT